ATAAAGACGCAAATTAATGCATTACTGAAAAAGAAGAAAAAAAATCAGGTGGACTAGTGAAAATATTGCACATTGCATCGTCATAAGAGCTCTGTCATCTTAAAGCTATGATTTTTGGAAAGAAAAAAAATTGGAATATCTTTACCTAGTATTATCAAATTAAAGAAATGGTGTTTATTTTATTTTTTAGTGTTTTCTAAATTTTAGTGTAGTCCAAGAATTCAAAGTAATGTTCTTACTCTAAAGAAGGAAAGAGGCGAATATTTGTATTCTGTAGAAAAAATATGCGTTCTCAGTTTCGACGAAATGCATATAGATTGAAAACTCTGCTATGACTCTAAACTGGACTAAGTTGGTTCTTTTCAAAATGTGCAGTTTGTTTGAATCGGAGTCTCATTTCGCGCTCTTCCTCAAATTACTGAGAAACCGCGTTTTAGATAGAGGATTTGTTTTAGAAGATGTAACTGTTTGAAATTTTGATATTATTAAAGAGGTTTTAAATAGAGATTGAGAAGAAATCAAATTGTGTCACAAACTAAAACCAAATTATTTAATGGTCAAGGGAAACGAGAGACAAAAAGTCGCTCCAGAGAAAACATTATTTTCAAAAAGTACCGCAAAAGGTATACTCTACCCCACAGGAAATCAGAAAGCATCTGACTTCTATGAGTTAATCGATATCTTCGGTATTATGTGTATGTGTGTATTTAATTATGGCAAAGCACACTAGGGCTATCTGCCTAAGGGGAGGGATGCCTTCGTGGAGGACTTTCTAAGGAAACTGGCTCGTATACACGTTACACATGGGGAAAACCACGAAAACACCTATGCAGCCAGCCCGTTCACGGGATTCGAACCTCGGACCGAACTACCAGTGTTCAGCGACTTTACCGCTCGGTCGCTAGTGGGCCTCTTCGGTATCATGAATAATACCAACAAGAATAACAAGTATTTAACAAACTAATTTTGTAAAGTACTTGTTAAAGTTATTCTTATTGTATCCTTTGTAACTAATTATTGATTAAATTTTGTGCTAGATTAGCATTCTAGATAAAATATAATAGTATAAAACATCAAAGTAATTGGCATAAAAAGACCTGCTTCCTTTACTCACACTTTTGAAAAATTAAATAACTGTTTTAGGTACTCTGAATAAAGTTTTTTGTCAAAATTAAGGTAACATTCTTATATATACATTTATTTAATTGTAATATAAGTATAAATTACAAAATTATTTAAAAAAATATCTATTATATTGAATCGGAAGAGAATTATAACAATGTAAAATTTACAATTAGGCAAAAAATCAAACGTAGGTTAGCAGAAATGTTGCCATATATGTCATATATGTTTAAACCTATGTCAATGTAAAGTTGTTTTTTTTGAGTAAATTTAAATAGCTGCTATTATAGTTATCTTAGAAGCAGCATAAAAATTCTCTCAGTTTAGTATGCAATAAAGAAATGATTAGAAATAAACATGCATTAAATAAAAAAACCTGCAAATAAAAATAAAAAAAACCACGGAACTTTATGTTAAAAGAGTAGCACATTTTATCTATTATTTTAAAATTGAGTAAGCATTATTAAATTTTTAATGGTTCAGTCTAAAATTCATAAGCAGTAACATTGCCTTTTCCAAATTATAGCTATCTTTCACACACAGCTCATTTTAAACGCTGGTTCAAAAACGCTAATTTCCAAGCTGTGAATTATATTGGCGCGCTCAGCGTCATCATGGCTACGTCATCACTTCTCACTTTTTGCTTCAGGGGGAAAAGCTCTATGAGCTAGCCCTTCTCTTCTAAGTCCTGGTCGGGACTATATAGTGGGTGTGGCAAAAGATCTCATTCGAGACCGTATTGAGTCCAGCCGTGAATGCAGACATATGCGGCTTTGCATTATCTTGATGGAACATTACTTTTTTGCGCCGAAACTCAATTCGACGTTTTCCTTGAAAACAGCGTCAACATGGACTAGCATCTCGCTGTACACCTTACTGTTATGGGTTTTAACTTCTTCCAGATACTCTTTGTGGACAATACCACGACAATTCCACCATTTACAAAGCATGATCCTGTTTATAGTCCAACTGCGCTTCGCGACACTGCCGACAAGTTCACCTGGCGCAGACCAACCCTTCTTCGGCCAGTGTTGTTGAAATAAATTCGCTTTCATCACAAGTGATGATCCAGTCTAGAATTTTGTCCTTCCGTTGATATTCGAGCAGATTAGTGCAGAACCGAACACGTCTGTCCTTATTTATTTGAGTCAGCTCATGCAGCACCCAGCGATTGAACTTGTAAGTCAAGTTTATGCGATGCAGAGGGCGACTAATGGATATCGTATTGACGTCTAATGTCTTAGGACTCTTGAGTGGTTGCATACTGATCTTCTGCCACAAGTTCTCGCAGGCGGGCCTCATCGACATCAGTAGGCCGGCCAGAGCGCTCTGCTTCTTGAAAGTCATGGTCCTTGTTTTTGAACTTTCGCTATCAAACCGTCACAGTGTCATATGATACAACACTAGTACCTAACACTATGCAGATGATTTGATGACATTCTGTAGCTGACTTTTTGTAACAGAACTGCAAGTAAATGACAGTTTTAATCTGGTAGCGTGATAGTTCCATTTCAGACGCCTTGTACTTAATGATAACGATATTTTTTTACAAATTTTCACAACACAGTGTTCTACAGCAAGTCCCTTTCTTTTAAATAAATAAAAAAAAATTTAACAAAGTTTGATTAAACATGACAACGTGGACTATTTGTGAAGACGATATTTGCGGTGGTGGGAAACTTTGGTTAAAACCTGATATTTTTTAATTCCTTTTATGAACTGAGATTTTACCTGTTTTTATGGTAGCACCTCATCTTGATTTTTGCTTTATCGTGTCATTCCTGCCATTGAACTCTTAGCAATGCATTTTATTATTTGTTTTATTAATATATATTATACGTCTATACATTATCAATGCGTATCCTACTCACCTCATGTTTGACACATTATGGAGCTTTACAGTTATTCATCAGTAAGTCCATTGAACATAAAGGAAAGCTAATCCATCAAATGGATTGCTACACCTTCAAGATAATCAATCACTACTACAGTGCAATAGCTTCACTAAGACGAATTTATTATCGACTGCACTCTTAAATAACTTGACATAAGGATTAAGAACCTCATATCTGTATATCTCTACATTGGTTAAAATGTGTAGGTCAATGCGACCATTTAAAATGATGAGACTGCTTATAACATGATTCCACTTCCTATGCTCCAACGCCCTTTCAGGCTTATTCTGTGTCTTTTACTCCCGTTAGGTTCTAACACATTTGGAATCCCTCTCAAAACAGAAAATAAACTCATCAGTAAAAAAGAAAGCAGCTCCAGTTCGCAGTACTCCAAATACGATTATCCTCTACAACCAAACACGTTTCGCAGCATAGGTTAGTGGGACACCCCAAATCATTGATTTCTTTGCATACAGCCAGTGCCGACCCCGGATCATCGGCCGCCTACGTGCAAATTAAAATTGGCCGTCATTTTAACAGAAATATTTTTTTAATCATTTCACCATCTTAAATCTGGATAGTCAAGTCAACTAATATTTTTTTTTTTTTTTTTTAAATAGCAAGGATTCAAACTATCTTCCATTTCAGGAAATGTACAAAAGATGTCTTTTAAATGAACCAATCAACAATTTTATCCAAAACACAAATTTTTAATAACTAACCAGTTTCTAGGATTGCTGCAATATGCTCAGGAAAGCATAATTGTGAGTGACATTGCTGGCGATCTATCTGGAGTGCCGGATATTACATAAGCATCATTTTTTGCAAACAATAATTATTTAATGAGCAAGATATTAAGGTTATTTGGCAATGAAAAAATGAATGGAATACATAGTTTATAATTTCTAACTGAATTAGTGTCATTCATTTTAATAGTATACCATAATCTAGAAATTAACTATGTTAACCAAACCACAAAACTGCAAAGTGTAGTAAAATTATTCTTTATTAAAATACCAGTTATTTCTAAAACAATGCTTCTGCACAAACAATTGAATAGGAAGATGTAAAAAGGGGCCATGTGAACAAAAGTCAAATTTTACAGGAGTAACAAACAACTATCCATCCCATTCCTAAGAAGAATTCAGATGACATTTTTAAAATGCTGAATTACATGAATCCTAGTTATATCGATCTCATAATTTTTTGCTATTAACTCCTGACATTCTTGTGAGCAATACATAGTTTATAATTTCTAACTGAATTAGTGTCATTCATTTTAATAGTATACCATAATCTAGAAATTAACTATGTTAACCACAAAACTGCAAAGTGTAGTAAAATTATTCTTTATTAAAATACCAGTTATTCCTAAAACAATGCTTCTGCACAAACAATTGAATAGGAAGATGTAAAAAGGGGCCATGTGAACAAAAGTCAAATTTTACAGGAGTAACAAACAACTATCCATCCCATTCCTAAGAAGAATTCAGATGACATTTTTAAAATGCTGAATTACATGAATCCTAGTTATATCGATCTCATAATTTTTTGCTATTAACTCCTGACATTCTTGTGAGCAATAGGATAGTTTTATATTTTCTCCTGCAAAATTGAACTTTTGCCACAAGCCCCTCTTCACATCTTCCAATTCAATTCTGCTTGCCCACTACATACATGTCTTTCTTCCAAAAATTGTCATTCAAACAGAAATGTTCAATAATTCATCCATTTGCCTTCAATTATACCTCATCCTAGTATTCTAATACAGAAGAGAGAAGCAAAGTGACAAAAATGTTTTATTTTAATATCAAATGCCATAGAAGATGTTCAAAAAGTCCATAAGTATTTCAAAAATTTATGTAAACCATACCTTGTTAAATCACATACTGAATTTTGATCAATTTATGGATGAAATTTTTAGACTTTCAGACCACTTTGTATTGCCACATATTTGTAAATGAAAAAATACAGAGACTGTAATGCAATTTTAAATATTTTATTAATGAATGAATACCAAGATAATATTCCACAAGTACAAGCAATATACACAGTTACATATGGTATGAATAACATCATGAGAACAGTTTCTGAGTTGCATTACAAATAACAATTACAATGCTATCATTAATTAATTGAAATAGGTGTCAAATGAAGAGTTTGATAGAAAATGATTGAAAATCTCAGTTACTCTCATCACTTACAATAACTGCCTAGTTATTGCCAGAGTTGTCTTACAATCCTCTGTGCATTCATCAGCAACTGTACCATCAACTGGAATACCATCAATCAACATAATAACAATTTGCAATGCAACTCAGTCTTACAAATTTCATAACACATCTGATTTTTAATTATCATTGCATTCTTCCTCCTTAGTTTTAAACCTCATTTAATACATTTCTGTTAAATCTAGTAACATAAGTGCATTTGTATCTAGATTGGTAATACGAGATTTTATTAATGAAAATTCCAGTTACACTTTTTTAAAAAGTAATAACATTTTACAGAATAAAAATTTAAGAAAGAACTTCTGAGAAAATTCCATACTTCGAATTATGATGATCATGTTTAAAACTAAAAATAATCATGCTGATATTCAAAATAATTACTCTAAAAAATGCTGCAACAAAAATCACACAGAAAATATTTGCATAATCCAGACAAATACTGAACGAGTTACTCACAATATAACCTGAGATAGGTTGCTAAAATGTACTACACAGTTTTTTTGGTAGCCATAGTCATAAATTCATCCATTAAAATTAAGGAGCTAAAACTTGTCCACTATTTATATAAGAATTAAAAATAATATTTAAAAAAAGGCCATCATATTTAATCATATAAACTAAATTTCAGTGTTTGGTTGATTTTTATTACATTTATCAAATTATATATATGTGTGTGTGTGTACACACACACACTATACTGCATTTATTCAAGCATTTATTGCGTGTGTTTGTATATATATATCTAGTATCACAGAAATATTTATTTAAAAACACAATTATTCAAAGTATTCTTTAATTCTTATTTTGTATATTTATAGAATATTTTGAAATTTATTGGTATTGAATTTTACTTTTTTGGGTCTTTGTGTAAAATAAGTTCTAAATTTCTTATTTATTGTCTATATATATATAATTATTAAAATTAAAAAAAATCTACGCAAATTCAGATATACAGAATTTGACAACAGGGAACAATGAACTGGCACAAAAATAGCAGAACTGCTAAAAATGCAAACAACCACTGTATCAATTGACACAATTAAAAAAAAAAATTATAATTTAAAAAAACAATATGAGAGCAGTTCCAAAATTACCAAATAAACCAAAGCAGTGTAAAAAGCAATTTGGCAAGAAAATCACTTAAAATACATGAAAAATGTGAGAAAATAAGCAAAGGGGTTGGTGTACTGAGAAATGCAAAAGAAAACACCTGCTTCTGAGCTAATAAATGCACAGTTTAAAAATTAATTTAAACTTAAATCAAGGAAAAATATAAAATAACTCAAATAACACATTTAGCTGTCCAATACCTATAGGCTGGAATCGAATAATATATATATATATATATATATTTGTATCATACAGAACTGAATTTAATTTAAAATATAGAATTTAATCAATCAATATTTTTTGGTATAAAAGTTATGCTATTTTAATGCATATACATTAATATGCATTAAATAAATATACATTAATATACAAAAAACATTAAACATGCATTTATTCCCTTTTACAAAAAACTCTTTCAAAAAACCTTGAGAACTTAAACTACTTCAGAAGAAAATGTCTTTCAGAATTCTAAAAAAAACAGCACTTATTAATTTTATCTTAATTTCCCTCCCATTTTAATATTTTCAGTATATGAATATACTGCACAGATCAGTATAGCATGTAAGTTTCTGTTACAATTGATAAATGCATAATAACACCAATTAAAAATGAGTCCTGCTATGAAATGCATTACAATATGAATTTTTAAATGCACAGAAAATTTATATTTGCACTGTGATGTTATTTTTTTACATAAATAAAAAAAATACACTTTAAAAGCCATGCAAATGGTGAAATTTTGACTGACAATTAAATATTTGTGCTGTAGCTAGTGTTTCCCATGTCAATAGTGCCTCCTTGGGAAATTGAATTGTCCAAAGGAAAAAAGAGAGATAAAGCAGCAAGGTTTTTAGATTTTAAGAATGCAACTAGTATGAGCAATACTTTTATATTATTATGATAGCACAATCCAGATACTATTTTGGAAGATTGCTGTTTTGCATAAAAGTTTGAGTGACTTCTGCAGCAAAATATTTACTAAGAAACTAACAAGTATTGTGCATAATTTAGACTCTATATACTTAAAAATTAGTCTTACAAATGAGTACCATCCATTGGTTTTTAAACAATAAGTTTTTTTTTCTTTTAAGGGGAAAAATGGTTTAACAAAAAAATGCACTGTTACCGAAGTAAAAGCTTTAACCATTATTATTATAATTAATATAGCATTACCATAAAATATAGTATATAAATCAAATAAAATATTTTCTTGACTATCAGTGAAAATAGTGTCATTATAGCTAAGGATTATTGACTTAAGCTAGAATATTATAATTTGGAAAGCTAGTTAATTGGCTCAGTTTTATTAATTCAGTTTTAATTAACTCAGTTTTATTGATTCCTCTAAAAAGCTTGAATGAAGTTTTACTTTCCTTTTATTTTCTAGTATGACTAACATCCATCTATTCCTTGAAATTCTTTTATGCTACAGAAGATGTTTCTTGTAAGTTATTTCATTTTAAGCAGTGAATATGAAAGACATTAATGACAAATTACAGCATTACTTTAAAATATGTGACCATCAGTGAAATTTCTAGGCTAATGTATAAGCTTGGCATTACTAATGTCTGTTACAAGTATTACCAAACAGTGTATATTTTTTGATGGATAGAAGAAGTGAGCAACAAACAATTATTATGCTATTTTAAAAAACTGCATTTACTTGAAGATATTGTGCATGGTGAAAAACATATGCCTTAATGTATATGATAAAGATTGATTTGCATCGGCTTCACCTAAAACTGAGTCGCATAAAACAATCTGTTAAAGCTATAGGTAAAATAGCTATGGCTTTTAAATGAAATTTCCTAAAAAAATTAGTTTTTCATTTCCCCCCCCCCACACTTTTTTTTTTTAAAGCCTTAAAATTAGTGTATGATATGAACTACAAAATGAAATGAAAATTAAATGTCATATTTGGATTCATCCAAAAAAGTTAACAAAAAAGGGAATATTTCTCAATGTGAAGCAGTGTTACTACAGGATAACTATGTTAAATATTTCAGGAATTTTGACAGAGCAGTCCTGAAATTTTTCATCATGAATCATACGGAGGTTAGTGGGATCTGACTGCTAGTTCAAACTGCATGATCTCGTATAAGACTTGATTATTTAAGTGTATCCTTCTCCCTTCATCGCAGATATAATATTAGTCTAGTCCTTGTGATGAGAATTAGGCAGCATTCTTGGTGATGAGCTAGGTAAACAATGAATATATTTAGCCAGTCCTGACAAATGCTTGAGAAACAAGTGTCCAATCATTTTGGGAGGGGATTGAAAATTTTTAATAGAAGATGAATTAAAACTGATTAATCAGTATTTAGCTTAGAGTGGAAAAAGACACAAGACGTAATTTAAAACAGCAAAATCTGAAGCTTAATACTAAAATCGTATTATTTGAATTTATAATATATTCTTAAATATTCTAAAGAGATATAAATCTGTTATGAGCAAAATAAGGTCATTCAGCAAAGATGTAAACAAAAAATTCTGAGAAACACTAGTATACTTTCCTACAAATAAAATGTTGCTTATAAATGCAACAATTTTATACCATCTACTTTGCTTTACATTGATGATTACACAGCCATATGAAATTGTTAAAAACCATAATTTTTACATTCAATGACTATTATTTAGATAAAAACAAGAAAATTCTGAAATTGACCCTCTTAGAGGCCGTAAAATTTCGATAGTTGTTTTTATTTATGAAATATATTTCTTCACGTTGACTTTCCATGCTTTTGTCTGAGAATTTAAACTGGTGCAATTTGGGTTTGAAGTCCATGTCACTGTAAGGGCCTTTATTTAACATATATTGCAAATTGATGGGACTGTAAATAAATTTTATAACAAATTATATAAAATATCTATAAAAATTCATTTATACATAAGATTTCTTACACATTATTCCCCCACTCCCATTTTTTTTTTTTAACCACAATAAAAATACTCTTTTCACTATTAAATTTCATGAATTTCATAATTAAATCATAATAATTTTACTACCCAAATCTTACTTTTTTTAGCAAATCTTTTCCTTAATAACTTTGTTTAGAGAAAAAAAAAAAAAAAAGTCCAAAAGCTTTCAGATTTTATACTACTCCCAAAGTACTTTTTTCATGTTTCATGTGTTTACCTTATTTATTAAATATCATTTCTTCATATTAAACCATAAGATTCAATTCACAGCATATCACAAAATATTTAAAACAAGCATATTTTAGACTTTCTGGGCCCACCAGTGGCCGACGGTAAGTCGCTGACACTGGTAGTTCGGTCCGAGTTCGAATCCGCAAACTGCTGTTGCATGGGCTTTCGTGTTTTCCCCAGTGTCATGTGTATCAGCCATTTCCTTTAGAAGACCTCCACGAAGGCATCCCTCCTTAGGGAGATACCCTAGTGTGCTTTGCCATATTTAAAAATACAATATTTAGACTTTTGTCACATCTTGCATGCTGAGATAAAAATTTTTTTTTTTTCCATCTGGTGCCATTGTTCATTTGAAATCGTTGAGTTGTTAAAAAAATTTTTAAAGTTGGTGGCAACAATTTGAAAGTGAAACAACACTTGTAGTGAATCAACGCAAAATGCCAAAATGAAATTAATAGTCCTTCTGGGTATGCCCTTTGGACTAAAAAGAAAAGATTTTCCAAGGTAAACATACTCTGAAACAAAGTGATTATTTTTTTTAAACAAATTCATAACTGAGAATATTTATGTTTTGGCATGTACTAATAAAACTAAGTTGAATCTTCAAATTTTGTATAAGATTTATATCATAGTGTCAATTAATTAACTCCATTTCTAGAGTTTCCAAAGAGTTATGTTCATTTTTGGCAGATAAAATAATAAAAAAATGGAGTCCAAATGAAATTTTTTTCTGTAAATTATTATCATGATGATGGCAATTAAGAGAAAATATATTTGCAGGCTGAATAAAATTGCTTCGGGTGCCGCCAAATTGAAACCACTGCATTATCATATGAAACTTTGAAAGAAGCCAAGTAATGAAAATAAATGAGCCAATTTTAAACTAAATGTACAATACAATGTAAAACTCTAACACAGAATACTCACATTTGCATAATAATAATGCATAAAACAATTGCAAAAAATTCAGTGTTAAACAATGAATACTTATTTTCTCCATCTGAATGTGATAAAAGTTAGGGAAAATTCAAATACCCGGGAAAAAAAGAAAAAAGTTTGTTCCCTTTGTCCATATAAAATACAATACTCCATTAATGATGCTAATATTTACACAGCAAGCAGAGGCATAATCAGAGAAGATAAGATAATGTGCAGTTCATTTTGCTTTAAATTTCTGATTCCAAACAAAATCAATGATTCAATGCAAAGCTGTATATTTAAAGTTATTAATGAGGATTTTGTTACACAACTGAGTTTAAAAAAAAATATTTCTTTTTTTTTTTTTTTTTTCTTTTTCTATTTTAAATTTAAAGCATCACTGCGGTCCTAAGACAAGCCCTTGTTTAAGCCTTGTACTTCTTCATAGTGTACTACTCTGTGATATTGAGAAGACTATATGAGAGCTTTTGTGAAAAGTTTCAGAAAGAACTGTTTCTTTGTTAAAAAATTCCATCAGCATCATCACTTCGAAGTCATTCAATTATCATGACCCATATGCATCATAAGAAAAATTTTCAGGACAAATAGATCTAAAAAAAATCTATACTGTACGTAAATAGTCAGTCCAGACAACTGATGCCCAAAGAAAAAAAAAAAAAAAAAAAAAAAAACTAACCACTAAAACTGCAGTAGGAGGAATAAGGAAACAGGAATTTCAAAAATCAGTTACTGGTTTTTGAAAAGTTACATACAACTAATTCAGAACCATTTCATAAAATTTTACTTCTTGCCGCAACACAAAAAAATTCCAATACTTTCTAATTATCCATATGCTCATGAAAAGATATCGATTTTTTGGCAACTTTCTAAATATTTGAGAAGCATTTTGTTTGGCTCTCTTTATGGCTAATAAGGCCTGTTCTATTCCTAAATAATAATAAAAGAATTTTGCATTTCATAAGAAAAGAAACTTTTTATCAAAACAAGATCTACGTAACTGACATTCACATTTTTTATAGTAGATACTTTTCAGCTGTGGCCTTCAAAATTTCTTTGAAACAGACTTTAGGCTTTCTGCCAGCTAAATTCAGTGAGATAGGTCATGAAATGATGTATTACAGTTCCTTTCTGCTTTTTGTTTCTTCATTTAGATGAACCCCACATTTATTCAGCATGCTGTGCATAGATGCCAATTTTGAGCACCCGAGATGATAATCGTTCCTTTATTTACTCCCTTCCTTGACATCAACACACCACATTTCTATCTGTAATTGGCTATCATAAAAGTTTCCTTTGATGCCCATTCAATTACTGACGAAAATCAGTTATTGATGTAAAGCTCAACCAATATTATTTTTATGCCTTATTAATAGGCTCTTGTCTATTTTAATGATGCATCCAACACCACCTTTTTTATGTTCTTTTTCTCTCTTTTCTTTTTTTTTTTCGGGGGATGGGGTATATGAGACATGCATGCTTCATGGAGGTAACTACACTAACCAATAATTGTATTGGATGGAAAATCTCAACTCTCCTTCACAGAATTTTATTGATGTATATTAAAATAAGATATGCTTGTCTTCAAAACAGTTTTACAATTTGATTCTAGTATTTCACTTGAAGTTTTTGACACTACATTTCCACACAATTCAGTTGTTCAAGAAGCACAATTTCATGGAATGCAAAATTCTGCAGTCTCTATTGATAGGAAACATTCTATTTTTGAAGAAATCCAAATATTTATTTGTTATCATCCACACTCTCCACAGTCCCATTACAATTATTTAAGACAAAATAAATAAGGGGGAAAAGGCACTTGGGAAAGTTAGTTTGGTTTAGTTTATTTGATTAAAAGCATGGTAGGGCTATCTGATTTAAGGAAAAGAAGCTTTTATGGAGGACTTTCTAGGAGAAACAGACTCATATCTATGTTACACATGGAGAAAACTATGAAAACAACCTTGCAGTCAGCTTGTTCACTGGAACTCAAGCCCATGTTGAACTATCGGTAATTAATGATATAACTACTCAGTTACTGGTGGGCCTGGTACTTAGGAAGAAAAAAACACTGAACTAAGAAATGACAGATAAAAAATAAAACGTGTATGGTATATGAATGCGTTAATTGGCTGTTGTCATAAATGCACTTAAAAATATGTCAAAAACATCACAGTTCTACCAAATGGTGAAACCAGGGATGCAGGTAATCAGAAAGTACATTTTACCTACTATTAAACCAGTAATTTTAATTACAACAATAAGGCATTAATTAGCAAACAATATTTTTTCAAATTAGATGCCAAATATTAATCAGTAAATCAAATTACAATAACAAAACATTAATTAATCTTTACAACAACAGAACATAGATTTTTAGGTATGAATTTAAATGATTTTAGGCACTAAACAAAATATTTATGCATTCACATGATTCCCAAGGGGGGAGGAACTTATGAGTACAAAGGGAAAAATAAAGACACAATAAAAAAATTATTAATTAACTTACTTATTTATTTTGGTCTTCAGAACTAACTGGAAATTACACAGTAAACTGTACATAACTGCCTCACAGCGAATCATCCATTGGTTTTCTAAAGCACAGAATGTGGTAGTTTCATACTTAACAATATTATTGCCTTCCTCTCTGCATTTCTTAAACTGAAGGTCTATATACATAAACAAAATAAAAATGTAGGAAATATACAAATAATAAAATTCAGTAACAGATGGACAAAATAATGATTACTTAAACTGAACAATTATTCTTTTTTACATCTGAAGCAATATTATTAATAACAAAATTCTATTTAAGCACATTTAAAAATTATATCAAAGGGAATAATCTTAACATGGTTTAATTTTACACCTGAAAGATATAGGTTCATTAATATGAAAATACTCGCATAGTGACAAACTCAAACTTCATTACAGGCAACATTCAAGACGATAACTAAATACATTTTTAAATATCAGTTCTAGACATGTAGTTCAAATAACAAAGTTTCTCAGAATATGTATAGTAGAAAAACTATAAAGGACATAACCATAATGCATAAAAAAAGTCCAAAAGGTTTCAGATTTTAAATTATGTCTAAAGAGTTTTTTTTTTTTTTTAAACATTTTGTGTGTAACCTTTATTTATTAAATATCATGTTCTTTGCACTTAAACCATAAAATTCAGTTCACGAGCAATATTGGCAAAATAATTTTAAAATGAGCATATCTTTAGAATTTCTGATACAAAGTCTCGCACACTGGAGATAAAAATGTTTTTTCTATACAACGTTGCTATTGCTCGCTTTGAAATCCTTCAGTTTGCTACTCAAAAATTTGATAAGTTTTACAAAATATGAAATTGATAATCAAACAAATTCAAAATTTCAAATTTGGGCTTCCAGATGCCCATATTCACAAGAGGATTACATTATTCAAAATTTGATGGCTCTAGGTATCGTTGTTTTATCACAATACAAGAAACACACATACACTTATATAGATTCTTCATTATTTTATTTCTCTAAACACAATACAGGGCGATAATTTTTAGTGGCAACAATTTGAAAAGTGAAATAACATTTGTAGTGAATCAATTCAAAATGCCAAAACAAAATTAATAGTCCTTCTGGGCAAATTGCCCCTTTGGACTAAAAATACTAGCACTTTTCATAATATAATCACATGCAATAAAAATTCCAAATAATAATACAGTACAAAGTCCGTAATCCGGACTTGTCGGGACTTCAGCAATTCCGGATTATAGATCCTCAATTTAAATCTGGTAAGATGGCATGCAGAAATTATACAATTAAAAATATGAAACCGTAATTTATGAAATAAAGAGCAATTATGATCTAAAGGGTATCAAAATTTACCAAAAAAAAGCTTAATATTTGTTTACTTTATTAAACATTTCTTTCAATGTAAGTTGTTTAAGTTGCTTTGTTTTTTATGTGATAATACATTCTCTTTAATTCTATAAACATACATAATTTCTTGTTCAGTTACAAAGTTACGCTGTTCAAGTCCTATAATTGCTGTGTCAAGAATACCGACTAACTTGTCAATCAAAATTTTTTCATTTCAATAACCTCTCTGTCACTTTCTTCACTATCGGAAGTGGTATTTTATTTGGATCTAGAACCATATTACAGATTTCGCCATCTGTTAATTGAATTATGATTGGGGCATTGTCGTCGCAATGAAAAACTTCTGTTATATCATCTTCACTTATTACTGCTTCTCACATTTCTTTACAAAATCCAATAACTGGAAAATTTCACCTTTAGTTTGCAAAGCCCAAAAACCTTCAAATTCGCGGCTATCATCTTCCTCGTCCTCACCATGAAATATAGTAGCTGGCCATAAATTATGCCAAGCATTTTTTAATGTATTTGGAGACACATCCTCCCATGATCTTGTGATGCTCCACACAGCAGATTTTATGCTAAAAAATTTCAAAATGTCTTGAATAGTCTTGCCATTGTTCAAGAAATTTAACATAGATTTTAAAAATGCTACTTTATATTTGCATTTGAGTGCGTGCACTATTCCCATATCCATAGGCTGAATGATATATGTACAATCTGGAGAGAAGAATAATATGGATACATTATCTTTCACTAAAACTTTAAGTGAAATATGCACCGAACAGTTGTCAACAATCAGGACTATTTTTAAGTCATCAGGTAAACCAACCAAATTCAAATGTCGTCGAGCTTCAGGTATAAAATGATTCTTTTATTTGCGTGATATATAATGGGGAAAATCGTTATTCCTTTAAATGCATGTTTTCCGATCACAAAAAGTTTGCACTTATGCGTTCCTGCAGCATTTGCACATGCTAAAATTGTTAGTCTCGTTTTAGAATCTTTTACACCAGTTGGAGCTTTTCTGTAGAGGTTGCCAAGGTATTTTGCGGTACATATTGCCAGAAAAGACCAGTTTCATCAGCTTTGTAAATTTGTTCTGGAGATAATTGTTCACTAGTAATGAGTTCAATGAATTCGACTGCTAATTGTTCAGCAGCTTCAGTATCAGCTGAAGCTTTTTCACCTGAAATTTTTAAATGTCTTATACCATCGCGATTTATAAATTTGTTTAACCAACCTGTCGAATATGTGCACTCAGTGTTTAAATTAATTTTTTCAAGAAATATTTTGGCTTGAGCCATTAGCATTGGAGCCGTCAATGGCACGCCTTCGCTGCGACGCTGTCTGACCCATTCAATCATCACTTTCTCATGATCATAACTTTTAGCATAACGAACCCTTTTCCTGTTATTCATTGCAAGTGAGGTGTCGGAATCCACAAAAAATTCAAAAAGTTCCTTTTTCTTTTTGCTTATGTCATATACAGTTGACTTTCCAATGTCATATTCCTCACATAATTTTGAGACGGATGTGCCTTTATCCATTTTTTGCAATTCCACTTTTTGTTTGATGGACATCGAAACATGCTCTCGCTTTGTAGATCTTTTGGCAGCTCCAGAATTGGAAACTCTTTTCGACATAATCGAATGTTCAAGCTTAAGATAATTTTAGCCTAGCTTATACCCTCCTTTATACATTAAACGTGCATGCCTAAAGCATACACAGGGTTCATAGCCACATTTTAGTTAATAAAACAAGCAACTATAAACATTTTTCAAGCACATTTTAAGGAAAAAATAAGCACCTGTCTAATTACATTATACACAACTGCATAACTTTAAAAGAAAAATTAGACTTGTAATTTAAAATATGAGCAATGCAATATTTATTAAGAGAATGAGCATTACCTCAACAAAGGAAACAATTAACTTTTTTTTTAAAATTTTAAAATGACAGTTTAATTTACAGAATTAGTTTACAATGAGAGAAAAAACTATGCAGAACTAAACTATATTACAAGATTTAATGATGATATTTCAGTTGAAAATATAAAATAAATAATAATAAGCCATATTAATTGTATTCATTTGGCACCTAATAAAAATACAATTTATTTTTCCACTCATATTATATTTAAATAATTTAACTTAAATCAAAATTCTGAACATTTTCTAAATTTTCATTGCATAACAGTTTTTTCCTTAACATATATATTACCAAGCAAAGTAATTTAAGTAAAAAAGAGGCACATTTCTGAAATCAGAAGACGGGAAATTGCTTCATCCAGTCATCCTTTAACAGTAAAAGCTTAACTAACCCGCATTCTCTGGAAATTCCCGAATATTCCAGTATAGTAACTGGAAAAAGAGGAGTGAGGGAAGATTGTAGTTGTTCTTATAGATTTCTTTCTCGGCCAAATAAATGATTTTGATGTTTCGATATGTGCATCATATAAAAATAATAATAGACCAACGGAACTGAGAAATATTCTGCTTAGAAAGTACAGTAAAACTCTTTTAACCAGTTAACTGGGGAATAAGCTTTCAGTAAAATCGTTTCACAATGGGGAATTTTTCCTTTGCAGTAATTTCAGCACATCACAAGGAATAAATAAAAGAAAATTGTTTTAAAATATTTAATGATATTAAATATTAAACTTAAAACATTTGTAATCCGGAAAAAAACAATTTAATTGAACGAATTTAAAAACAATTATTTCATATGATATTCCCTAAAGCAATGTGGCATACACAAAGCAACACTGCAGTCCGGACAAACCAAAATCTCGATTCTTTTCCTAAGACCTTTGGAATAGCATAATTTTGCATCTCCTCGTTACATTTACTCTTGAAGAGTCGGATGGTATATAGTCTGCAAAATGTTCTTTCAAAGAGTCGAGATGGTTTTGGTGTCAAAGATGATCGTCCTGTACTAGTAGATGGCAACTGCGATCCATCTCTATATTTTTCAACACCTTTTTCTCAAGGAGGTTAGAATAGAAGGTCTTTCGCAGTCTCCTCCACTGTCGGGGAATGAAACTCTCCGCCGAAAAAAAGCGGCGTCCATGTTTGTGACTTCAAAACATTGCATTTACTGCAGTGACATGTACGTGTTTCTAAGCTGTTCCGTGCATTTATTTTTTCCAGTAAAATTATGTTAAATTTATAATGAATCCCCCCGCTATATTGTTGAATTTTTGTTTTAAAGTAATAAAGATGATATCCATAATTTACTATGTACAGCAAATTGTTAAGAAATAGTTTTTGAAATCTAAATGCATGTGCATAACATTAAAGCCTTTAAAAAATGTTTGTTTCTGTATATTTAACGGATTCGCTTAGGTTAGAAAATAAATCTTAATAAAATAAAACAGAATTCATTGATTTCAGTTTATGCGCATTTCATATTTATTAATCTCAAAGAAACTGCCTTTAATTAAGTTGAATTACAGAAATACACCTATATAAGTTTTTGGATACATTTTTTTCCACATGTTCAATTGTGTAAATATTTTACTTAATTTTATCACTATACTGCTCAGAAATTTGTAAGTTTATACAAAAAATTTTTTAACAACAGAACAGTTTATCTTAACTTAAAAAAATGAATAATAATTAATATATAAAGAAAAGCATTGCTTTATTTAACACCTTTACAATTAATAAAAATAGTAACAAATGATTTCTTACTTTTCATGAAAGTTATAAACGAATTAAACTAAAACGTTCAAATTATACAATTTAAATCCTACCATATAGCATTGTATCTTAAGTAACGAAGATACCAGCTATAAACAG